TGGTGCAAGACGTTTGACTAGTGTCAGCCTGACGGCGTGGTAGATTGTAACGAGTGTAATACAAGCACCCGTTGTTCATGTCACATCATCTGCGCTTGTGTAAGAGGGTATCGGATTGGCGTTGTCTACATGTACTATTACAGCGCAATGATGGTAAGATAGCAGCATGGGGGGTAGTGAATACATAGGCGGTGTGTGTGAGGATCCGTATGTGAGAGCACGAACAACAGCAATGGGAAGATGACGAAAGCAAGCAACGACAAAATAAATAACCAGATTTCTACGCCAGCGGAGGGCCATTGCTCAGCTCGAGGCCGACCTTCTGCACCAGCTGCAGGCCAAGGGGCTGCAGCGCCTCCTTCCAGACCTGCACGCGGCGGCGGCCGTTGAAGATCGCCATCGAGCGCGGGCCAACCTCGCCCTCGGGGCCGAAGACGAAGACCTTGTCCTCGGCCCACGGCGCCTCGCCGTGCGCGAACGCGAACCAGCGGCTCTGGACGGCATCGCGCACGCGCGCGTACGTCCACTCGTCGACGACGGGCACGTCCCAGCCGTCGTCGCCCGCGCCGTCGGGGCTGTTGAACCCGAACTCGAAGTCGACGCCGTCCGAGTCCGTGTCGCTCCCGTAGCACATCTCGGGCGTGCCGGGGCTGTACCCGGCCACGTGCGGCGACGCGCACGGCGACGCGGCGGGCGAGAACACGTCCGGCGGGGACAGCGCCGGCGGCACGCTCAGCGGGACGTTGTCGAAGAGGTACAGCAGGTCCACCGCGTGGTGCGGCACGCCGCGCGCGGGGCTTTCCTGGTCGAAGACGTAGCGCCAGACGCCGTGCCCGCCGCGCGCACGTTTCGCGCTCGCCGCGATGCACTCGGTCGGCCACGCGAAGCGCGCGTCGTTGATGAGCTCGAGGACGCGCTCGGGGAGCTCTTCGGGCGGCGTGTGCGACGAGATGTCGTAGGCGCGCAGGAGGGCCGACGACTTCGGGAGCGACTGGCAGATCGCTCGCAGGCGCCGGACAACGCCTGGCGCGCTCCAGAGCGAGGCTGGGAGCGACCACAGGAGCGACTCGGCGCCGCAGTCGCCGATCATGAGGGGCTGCAGGTGCGGCGGGTGGTGGTAGTTGTTCAGGCCGTTCGTTCCGGTTGTGTGCCGGGCGCGAGAACGAGAGCGAGAGCGAGAACGCGAGCGGGAGTGCGAGCGCAGGTGACCGTGCGGAGACTTTAGACGATGTGAGAGAGCTTGGAGTTCAGGAACCTTTTCGTGTGCAGAGACCTCTTCAGTTTCCGGGTACAGGTAATCTCGCCAGCCGGACGCAAAGAAGACACCGTCGTCCACAGCCCGAATAGCCGGAACGATTGCCGCCAGTTTGTCCGCAGGGACGTCGCGCAGCTCTTCGACCGTGTTTGCACGAAGAGCCGACATGAGCCGCGAGAACTGCCAGCCAGCGCTGGAGACGTTGGGGATATCGAAGGGCATCTCCGCACTCTGGACAATCGCGCGCTGGAACAGCGGGCGAATCTCGTTCGCGGACGAGTGCATGTGGCAGAGTATGTCCGCTGCGCCCGAGGCTGAGCCGAACAGCGTGACATTGTTCGAGTCGCCACCGAAGTCGGAGATGAAGCTGTAGACCCACTCCAACGCCTTGCGCTGGTCGCGAAGGCCGTAGTTTCCCACACCCTCCTCGCCGGCGGCAACGTTGTCTTCGAGAAGGGCGTTGCTTGCGGCGAAGCCGAGGAGACCAAGCCGGTAGCTATAGTGTGTGAGATGGGCGCATATATGCACGTCCCCGCACGACTCACTTGATCGTCACCAGAATGACAGGCTTTCCGACCATCATGCTGCGCTGCACGAGGCAGCCACCATCGTACAGCCAGCTGGACCCTGAACCACGGGTTCCACCGCTGATGATACGTCAGAGCCATTCAGGCGTCACAGTGGAGATCCCACTCACCCGTGAATGTAGACCATGACCGGCAGGCGGCTCCCAGGGAGGGCGTCAGCTGGACAGGTGATGTTCAGGTTCAAGCATTCGAACTCGTTCTGCTTCAGGGCTTGGACAGGCATGACGTCGTCCGTGAGCGCGAACAGCTCAGCCTCGTAGCCCTGGCCCTTGATCTGCGGACAGATGGGTCTGCGCGGCGTTAAGATTCGCCAGAGAACATCAGGAGTGCGACGTACCCATGGCGTGTCGCGTCCGTCACTGGCGGGTACGCAGTGTACAGCTTCGACTGGCGAAAGCGTGCAGGGACGGAGGCGTACTTGATGCCGAGGTACTGGTGCACGACAGCTTCCTCGGTCGAAATGGGGTGCACCTGGCCAGTGAAGGTCGTGTGCAGCTTTTGGTGCATGACGACGGGCTCGCTCTGGAGGCCGTTCGAGAGTTTTGATATCATTTTGGCGGGAAGTGAGGCGGGTGCTAGGGACAAGCTGAGCACGCTAGGCTCGGTGTGGGGGTTTGGCGGGTGCTAACGTATGACGAGGCCACGGGGGGCAACAGCGAGGAGAGGGTATGGGTGATGGGTGATGGGTGAGGGTAGGGGGGTGAGGCTCTGGATCGTTGGGCGAACATGGTCTTGTAGGCGCAGATAGGAGTCCGCGATCGAGGGCCATTTCGAGGCGGGCTGGTCGAAAACTCGCTGCCTGTGCCCAAAGCGGCAGGATCCACCTCAGACGCCCGCGGGGCGCTGCGTTCGACGGTTCGAGGTCTCTCCCGGCCACTTCCGAGCACCGCTGCACCGCGCACGCAACAGAGCCAAACACCGTCCACGCGCACGCCGGGACCGCAGAGACCGCCACGAGACCCCGGCACGAGACTCGCCGGTGGGCGCACACAGCGAGCACAAGGGGCATCGCGCTGCTGCCACCGGCGGACGACTCCTCGAAGACGTCACCCAGCCGCACCATCCATGGAGCGACAGCGTGCAGTTGCATGCGGGAACCCTCTCCAAATGCGCCAAGGCAGGGCGAGTGCTCGGAGCTAGACGTCTAACAAGGGTAACAGTGACAGTCAGATCAGGCCAGCTACTCTGAAGGGGTGATTGACGTACAATACAAGGCGTATCAGTTGGCCGGACGGCGGTTGATCGTCGGCCAGACCGAGGGCTGATACACAGCCCGCGAATAGACTCATTGAATAGCACTGTGGGTAAATCGATGGCTGTAAGTCAGTGTTCTTGCGGCAACTCATACGTAACGAACCTATCCTGCCCGGCCAACGTTGCTACACCTTCGCTGTGATTGCGTTTGGGAGGCGGCGACGGCGCAGATGCGTTCGCATGGACACAAGGCATGGGAGGAAGGAGCGGGGGAAATGAAACCCATCAGCGTCTTTCCCCACACCAAGCTGCCGCGGGAAGGCTGAGAGACGTCGCGTAGGGGCGGCATTATACGTACACAAAAGCTCTCGACTACCAGTCTAGAGAGGCTTGAATGAGTGACAATACAAAGAGAAGAGTAAAGAACGCACCTAGAAGTCGGACCGGCAGGCGCAGACCTGCCCATCTGGGGTATATGCCTCGGCGTCACGACACGTTGCTCAGCCGTCGGCCGTCGCAGAGAACGCGGACCTAGCCGCGTTCTCGAGTGCGTCTCCGAGACACGTATGCGCTTCGCGGGGCCTGTGACAGCATCGGAGGCTGAACAGATAACCGTCGATCCCCGCCAGCACAACGCCCCAGGGAGACCGCAGCGGCTTCGACGGGGACCACTGCTAGGTGGGGGCCCCACGTGCGGAAGCACGCGAGTCCCCCACTTACCATTGGCCACCAGGACGCAGACATACCTGCGGGGCGGACCTAGAGGGCGACGCGGAATGCGAGGCCCTCCGTCGCGCTCGCCGTGCGATTCGGAGGATAGTTGTGTTCTGGCCATGTCAGACGACTCGTCTGTTGCATTGCGTCGAGATTCTGGGCCTTGGGCTGCGGAGGTATACGCTTGAGTGACAAGCCCCGGTCGAGGCCCGCGATCGCAGGGTCTGGGCAAGAATTGGCGAAGCTCCTGGGCAGGGCACCGCATACGAGATGTTCGCACGCCCCAACGGTGCGCCCCCTTGCGCCAGCCCAAGCGCAAAGCGCACTGGAAGACTCACCTCGCCAGATCTCGTCTTGGGGCGCGCTGGGGAGGTCGCGCGCCCTGCCTCTGTGTCGTGAGTGCCCCTGCTTATATGCACGCTAGACGGCCCCGGGTGGGCACCCTCGAAAGCGGCACCCCGGCGTGTTGCCGCGCAAACGAGGGTGCGAGCACGGCGCCTGAGCTTGATATACGCGTGATTTCGTACAATTTCGACGATAGGCGTGCGGCAGAGGGTGGCAAGTGGAGCAGTGCGTGCTTCGCCGAGGGGCATGTGGGGGCGAGTTGTGACCGGGCGGCGGCAGGACAGGCAGGCGTGGGCACGCCGAGCAGGGTCGTCGCTTGGAAGAGCTTTGGCCTGCCGTGGGCATAGCACTCTGCCGCACCTGCACGGGATGCGAATGTGGCGCCGCGCAGCAGACGGCGACGAGCAATCCTGCACACGATGCAGAAGTCTGGGAGACCTGGAGTGCACAAAGCAGAGTGTGAGTAGCCTGAAGAGTCGTGGGTGCTGGTGGAAGAGAGCAAAGAGGACGACGCAGCCAGCTCGGTATCGATGAGATCGAGTGCGATCAAAAGCGGTCTGGTTCGCTTGATTGCGCTCCCTTGACATCAAAAGAGCCAGGCTCGCTCGTCCACAATTCGACTTTTGCGCTGCACGATAGCATGCCCATGAGAAGGTTCTTGGCCATAGACAAACAGTGCACCGGCGTGGACCAAGTCCAGCATATCTTGTTTACGGTGACCGGGCCCGCACCCAGCAAGGTTAAGCGTCCCAATGACCCGGACTTTCCCCAGGCCAATTTAGCTCCTATTCCTGCCAGGCTGCCGCCCTCCTCTTCCCCCGAGCCAAGCGTGCCAATCAAGTGTATTTTTGGCCAAGTAGAGTGGAAAAAAGAAACCTTGAGACAGGGAGAGGACGCAAAATATATGGTTCGACTGGGGCTCGAACCCAGGGCCTCCTGTGCACACACGTGATGTGAGACAGATGTGATAACCAACTACACCATCGAACCCATGCTAATTGGGCAGCGTTGATAGCTGAGAAAGAGAAACCGCTCTTGGCTGGTGAGACGTGCAAGAGGTCCTCGGAGTCGCATCCACTGATTCGAAGGCGAGTATCTGGATGTGTAGCAACGAGGACGTTCTCTTACTTGGCTTCTGCATGCCTCCGTGATTGCCCCTCGTGAAGAGAAGACTGATGAAAGACGGAACCAGTTTCGTTCGCGAGGAGTCCCACGCGGGTAAATGGTTCCCTGATCCTTCGCCTTGGCAAGTGACGCTTTGTGGCAGTTGCGCTGCGCACTCTACTTTGCAGCTTTCCCCTGCTCTGCCACATTCTTATTCTGCACAGCTCTCCTCCTTCTCTTCATTTCCGTTGGCTGGTGCTTTGCGATCATTCCCTTTTATACACCTCATAATCACGGCTTCCTGCCGCGCCAACACGAACGTTCCCGCCCCACCCCGCACCGGACAACACTGACCGCCAACCATGTCCACCGCGCACGATGAAGTCGACACCTCTGAGCCACCCGTCTCTGTCCCCGACACGGGCGACGCTGGCGAGAGTGGCAAGCTCAAGATGATAGTCTCGCTCGTCAAGAAGTGCTTTGGAGTGAAGGATATCGCGTCCATGTGCGTGTCCGATGTCTCAGTCGTTCCCTACGGCCTCTGCGAAGAGGAATCGCGAGCTCTCATCGTGGTTCATGGTACTCAGTCCGCTGAGCATCCTCCTCGACGTTCATGGTTCCAAGAGTCTCCTCCGTTACCAGGACATAACAACCGCTTGCGAGCAATTGCACTGACTCCGGCCACACAGGCGACTATCGCTTCCTGCATCGCTCCTCGAGCCCATTCCGAACCTCGAATACTGGCATTATCTGGATAGGCCGGACCTGTTCTCTGCGTGCGTTTCCCTCAGAGTCAGGCCGTGAGCCCAGCACTGACCCCAGCAATCACCGCGCCCTGCCCCACCCGACGGAACCTCCTCCATGGCATCCGCTGATCATGCAACGCACGTTCCTCACCCTGGGCCAATCATACAACCCAACGCGCAATAGCATCAACGACTCGGACGATGCATTCGAACGCATGATGGCTGTCCTGCGCTTCACCTTTTCTAAAGATCTCAAGTTCATTGTGCGTGACTTCGCCTTGACGTATCACTGATGCTCACCGTCCCTGCAGCATGGCAAGGTTTGCAAGCCGTACAACTCTGTTATCGGGGAGCACTTCCGTGCGCACTGGGACGTGCTGCCGGTGTCGTACCCAGAGGGCAACCGGCTACAGATGCCGGTACAACATCTCTACCTCGCACCCGCGGCAGCCGAGAGCGTGTACTCTACCGCCGACTCGAGTAGCGTGAAGAGCGGCGTCAGCGCTGCAAGTGGACTCAGCCGGAAACCTGGCAGCCAGAAGAGCACGAACGGCCGTCTGTCGACCTCCACGGTCGCGTCGGGCACTGGCACACCGACGATCAGCACTCCAGCCACGTCCGCCATCGAGGAAATCGACGCCGAGCTCGAGAAGCTCAACCTTGACCCGAACGCGGCGCAGAAGCTCCTGCCTCCATCCGAACGCGAGAAGCTGAAGGGCCTGCCGGGCAATGTCTCGATGTCATCCGTTCACCTCGTTGAGGAAGACTCGCCTGTAATGTCGCCCGTCCTCAACGGTGAACCAAGTCGTCTCCGCACGTTGTACCTCACGGAGCAGATTTCGCACCACCCGCCCGTGTCCGCCTTCCACGCGTCGTGCCCCTCACGGCACCTCACCATGTGCGGCATCGACCAGATCAGCGCCAAGGTCAGCGGCACGACGGTGCGCGTCGCGCCAGGCCAGTACAACAAGGGCATCTACGTGCACGTCGAGGACCGCCTGAGCGAGGACGGCAAGCCGGAGCGCTACCACATCACGCACCCGCCCGCACACGTCAACGGCATCCTGCGCGGGAGCTTCTACATCACGGTCAGCGAGAGCACGTACGTGACGTGCACGGACGGCCCCGCGTGGGTCGTGCCCGGCGGGAAGGACAAGGGCAAGCGCGTCGGGCTGCGCGCGGTCGTCGACTACAAGGAGGAGAGCTGGATCGGGAAGGCGAACTTCCTGCTCGACGCCGTCGTGCACACGTACGACCTCGACGACCCCGCCGCGGCGGACGCGTGGACGAAGGTCAAGCACGTCCCGCGCGAGCGCGTCGTCGCGACGCTCGCCGGCAGCTGGCGGCACATGATCAAGTACAAGCTCAACCCCGCGTTCTTCCCGACGCGCACCGGCTCGACGCTCAGCCTGCCCGCGGACGAGTGGGTGCCGCTCATCGACCTGTCGATGCTGTACCCGATCCCGAAGCTCGTGCGCGACGTCGAGAAGCAGGAGGAGAAGGAGAGCCGCCGCATGTGGCAGAACGTCACGGACCGCCTGCTCCGCAAGGAGTACAGCGAGGCGAACAAGTACAAGCAGGCCATCGAGCAGCGGCAGCGGGAAGAGGAGGCGGCCAGGAAGCAAAGCGGCGAGAAGTGAGTCTCTTTGTCGCGTCCTTTGTCGCGTGGTGCTGACCTGTGCAGATACGTGCCAAGGTACTTCGTCTGGGATGTCGAGACCGGCTTACCTACGCTCACGGAAGATGGCAAGAGGGCGCTGGAAGAGGAGATGAAGGAGCAGTCTGCACATCCGCTGGTGCAATGACTGACACCTTCTTCTTTGCCTTCCGCCTCAGATGGGGCTGCAGGAGTGTGTAATATATAGAAGGAAGGTGTAGACGGGGAGCGGAGGAAGGAATCTGGAATCATAGCTAATACAGAAACTCACTTAGTTTGCACTCACTGCACGAAGTAATGGTCATGTAACGACACCGGACATTTGAGCTTGGTAGCTAGGCAATACATGGTCCTCAAGCATAAGGTACTGTTGAGCACGACATGACATCTTCGGAAAGGCACGCGTCTCCGAACCTGAGCCTGGGCGTACAGCTAGTCAACTGTCGAGTCAGAGTCTATGTCCTGTGGGTACGGGCGCAAGACAAAATATGAAGCGAGAAATGTATACAGTGTACACCCAGTACACAGAGTATCACAGACACGAACTGTCGCCCTTGCTCCCCGGGGGACTCGAGAGGGAAAAAAGAAAGCTCAAGGAAAACAATTGTCCCAGGGAGGATTCGAGCCTCCGTCTTCACGGTATTGTGTAACCACAACGTGATGATCTAACCACTAATCGACAAGGACCGAAATGGTGTCCGTTTTGGACGTACATATCGCAAAACGCTGGGCTGCACGGAGCCTATCTTCGGAATCATGTCAAGTCGTCGCACAGTCATCGGAGTACCGACCAGGGGCGATAGCTAGATAATGAGTGTGTTTTAAGGGAGTGTAAGTACAGTAGAGACATGGAAGAGAGATAAGGATCCAAAGATGACAAGGGAAGCAGGGCACCAGGACCGTAGAGTACTAGGTATCCGCAACAGTCCACATGCACCCGAGAAAGAGAAAGAATCCCATGCGAAAGTACAAACGTAATCATAGTCCGATGCGTGTCCCTACTGCGACAGAGGGAAGGGTCTTAGGCGAACAGGAGACCGAGGGCACCAGCAGCGGCAGCGAAGACCGAGACGAGGGAAGCGGTCGAGCTGGAGGAGCCGCTGGACGGCTGGCTCGTCTGGGCGGCGGCGCCGCTGCCGCTGCCAGAGGCGGTCGGGGAGCCAGAGCCGGAACCGGTGCTGGAGCCCGTCGAGGAGGCGCTCTCGGTGGGCGTGGCAGAGGTGGCAGGGTAGGCAGAGCCGAGAGGCTTGATCTCAAAGTTCTGGGACTGGGCGTACACCTGGGGACGTCATTGTGTGAGCGTCACGATATAATTTCAAGCGGATAGGTAGCTCTGCGTACCTGGGTGTTGTTCAGAGGGTTGGCCAGCTGGATGAAGTAGCCGTCGCCCGCAGCAAAGATTTCCTGCTGAGTTGTGATGGACTTCGAGCAGTCAAAGTTGTTCTCGATGGCAATGATGGGCTGGGGCTGGACGAGAACGGCTTGGTTGGTGTTGCCGACGCTATCGCCAACGAGTGTGAGAGGGAGGAAGAGGGGAGATAAGGCGCGTCGCTTACAGGACGGTGAAGTTCAAGAACTCGGTGTTCTCGTGGCAAGTCCAAGCGATGGTGTTGATCGAGTTGGCGACTGAGGAAAGCGGCAGTTAACATGAGCAGGCTGTGCTTGACGACTGAGGCTCTAGAAGCACATACCCCACCAAAGGTTTGGTCCTCCAGGGGCGAGGATGGTGAGGTCGGCTGCAGCGGTGGAAGCGAGTGCAGCGAGGGTCGCCGAGACAGCCAGGCGGGAGGAGAACATTGCGCAAGGAGAGGTCGAAAGGAGAGACGGGGAAAGGCCCAGGCAGAGAATCAGAGAGGCAAGGGGCTGCTGGGAAGGGCCGTTGTTCACCAGACCGTGACCACCGTCAAGGCCGTGTTTGGCCGCCGCAAACAACCCGCCGCATCAGCCGAGACCACGCCGACCCGCGTGGGCCATCTTCTCCCTCTCCCTCACCCTGCGCACGACGGGCAGCACCCAGAACGCGATGGCGAACGCGGTCTGCGCGCGTTCCACAGCAGTGACCAAACACAGCTGCGCAGCGCGCGCAGAGCGCATGTCGATCCTCCTCGGCGTCGGGCCCTTCGGCGGAGGCATATCTCGTCGCCCTTCGTTTCGCTTCGCGTCCCCTGTGAAATCCCTGCGAAATCCGACGCGAAGGTGCCTTCTTGCGCGTACGGCATGCATTGCGAAGCCCTGCGCGATAGGAGGAGAAGCCCTGCACTTAGGTGATTTGCGTGATACACGCCCCGCAGTAAACTCTACGGAGCCCGGGGACTTCTGGAGGTGAGCATGCCCCCCATCTCCGTTGTTCTCCAGCAGTGGTCGGACTCCTTACCAGTCTGTGCTGTGGGCAGCCAGCGACAACACTGTCCATTGGCGTCAGAGCCCGCCGCGGCGCTCCAGTCGACGGAGCATAGTCAGTACAGCCTCTTCATTGGCAAACA